ATTACAGCAAATCACTTTACACAATTGCTTAAAGATCTCAAATTCTAGTACTCAGCCCACTGATATAGTATCTCATGTGTTTGGACATCAGCAAGAACTTTTTCAGTCACTCACTTGGTGTTTTAATGTTATCTAATAGGAAAACAGCTAATAGAAATCAGTGGTAAATTAACCAGTTGACCTGTGTTTGTTCTGAAATGGCAAGAGTTCAGCCGGTGAGTGAACACTCCTGTCTTCAATTTGATTCTGCAGTGAATGGCATGAACACTCTTCACTTTCTTCTGATGTGCTGCTAGAAAATCATGAGTGCAAGAATGGATATATGTGAAGATATAGTTCAAGTTCCCTTGATTCACAATATTGTTCATTGTTTATAGTGATATGAACTGTAATTTTANATACTAAAACATGAAAATCAAAAGATCCATATACTACAAAACTGCAATAATTCAAGTGTGACACTGAAATAAAGACAGAACTAGACCAATGAAACTGAAGAGAGAGCCCAGAGACAATCCCACAAATACGTGGCTAACTGATCTTCAACAAGAGTTCTAAGAACACGATGAGGAATGGATGGGCTCTTCAACAAATGTTGCTTGGGAAACTGAATATGCACATGCAAAAGAATGAAATTCGACCTTTGTTTTATACCATGTAAAAAACCCCTCAAAATGAATTAAGGATTTAAAGATAAGTAATGAAAAGAAAAATTTTAAAAGAAGATATAAGGATAGTGGCTCAGAACTTTGGGCTTCCCAACATTTTTGTGAAAATGATACCAAAAGCCAAGCAACAAAAACAAAATTACATGAGTGGAAGTACGTCATACTAAAAAGCTTCTGCACAGCAAAGAAAACAATCAGCAGAGTGAAAAGGCAACCTACAGGACAGAAGAAAATATTTGCACTCCATATATCTAATAAGGGGCTAATATAAAAAATACATACGGAACTCAAACAACTCAAGAACAGCAATAATAGAAAATATAATTATAATCTGATTGAAAAATGGGCAAGGACGTGAATAAACTTTTCTCCCAAGAAGACATGCCAATGACCAACAGATGTGTGAAAAGATCTGCAACATCATTAATCGTAAAGGAAATNGAAAATCAAAAGATCCATATACTACAAAACTGCAATAATTCAAGTGTGATACTGAAATAAACACAGAACTCTAGACCAATGAAACTGAAGAGAGAGCCTAGAGACAATCCCACAAATATGTGGCTAACTGATCTTCAACAAGAGTTCTAAGAACACGATGAGGAATGGATTGTCTCTTCAACAAATGTTGCTTGGGAAACTGAATATGCACATGCAAAGAGTGAAATTAGAGCTTTGTTTTATACCATATTAAAAAACCCCTCAAAATGAATTAAGGATTTAAAGATAAGTAGTGAAAATAAAAATTTTAAAGGAAGATATAAGGATAGCGGCTCAGAACTTTGGGCTTCCCAACAATTTTGTGAAAATGATACCAAAAGCCAAGCAACAAAAACAAAATTACATGAGTGGAAGTATGTCATACTAACAAGCTTCTGCACAGCAAAGAAAACAATCAGCAGAGTGAAAAGGCAACCTACAGGACAGAAGAAAATATTTGCACTCCATATATCTAATAAGGGGTTAATATCAAAAATACATACGGAACTCGAACAACTCAAGAACAGCAATAATAGAAAATATAATCTGATTGAAAAATGGGCAAGGACGTGAATAAACTTTTCTCCCAAGAACACATGCCAATGACCAACAGATGTGTGAAAAGATCTGCAACATCATTAATCGTAAAGGAAATGCAAATCTAAAACATTTTAAATGAAGTCAAATAACTCTATTTATTCAATAAGTAGCAGCATGTAGTGCCTTATTAAAGAACCATTTACATTTTTATCATCTAGTAAATCATCATTTTGCTATTTTGAACCAGGAGATAATTAGGGCATATTCCCCTCAGGATGTCTCCTGTGAGTTTCATAAAGAGTTGAATAAGTGCATATAAGCGATCTAAATTAGCCTTATTCATAGTGAGCCTAAACCAGTGTTTGCTGTTCCATGGGTAAGAGAATATTTCAGATCATTTCAAAAATATTTTGGAAGATAGAGGGGAATACGTCGAAAACAACCATGTTGGTTTTCAGCACATATTTTAGCTACTAAATACCAAATACTAAACTACATGCATCAACGCCTGATTTATTCAGTGTCCTGTCTAAAAATTAAAAACCAACACTTCCTTGAACAAAGGAA